AGATAGATAGATAGATAGATAGATAGATAGATAGATAGATAGATAGATAGATAGCTGGATAGATAGATAGATAGCTGGATAGATAGATAGATAGATAGATAGATAGATAGATAGATAGATAGATAGATAGATAGATAGATAGATAGATAGATAGATAAGTTGTTGACAAATATGTCTCTTGATAACTTGCCGTATATTATCTGTACACTCTTACTAAGGCGGTGTGGGCTATTTCCACTCACGGCCTCGACCAGCACAATAAGATGACTGACATTAGAAGAGTAATAATTATTCAGCAATGATGAGAAAGCTTCACTCAGATTAACACAGATATATAATCAGCGGTCCAGATTCGCAACTCACAAAGCCTTCAAGTTCGCAAGCGCTCTTTTCCGTTGGGCAGCAAGCTTCGCTAATGACGTGACCAGCATTATAACTGGCAGATGTTTCTTTTACGTGAGAGGTTAGCCTCAAAGGTTCTCTAAACGACCTCTAAAGAACAAAAAACAAATGCGTCATTATCTCCTGGCGTCTCCCGTCTTCTCAGCGCAATCCGCGATGGCGTGCAGCTTGTTTGCGTGGCGTCATGAGGACATAAGGTTTCGATTCGTGCATTGTGAATTGAAGAGCTTTTTTTTAAAAGGGCTAAATATAGAACTAAAACTCGCTCAAATAAGGCTCTATTGACACATACATACTTCCAAGTTTCCTCTGAACGTAATAATGATTTACAAATATTAATTAGTAATTTGTTATTGCTGTTTTAGAGGAAAGGTGAGAGAACGTATGTTCCAAATACAGCCTAATGGGAGCTCTCCTTGGTTCTGAATTTAGCCCCTTTCAATAGCAACAACAAAAAGCTCCTCAACTGTCTGCTACCCTGCTCTGCTTTGCAACCGAACACCCGTTTTTTCGTCCCGCATCGAAATTGTGCGCATAAACCAACTATACGCTTTGTTTTGTCTATTTACGACTACGCAAGCCGAGAAAACTGCGCATGGACTGAAATGCGCGTACTCCCCATATATATAGCTCAGCGGTGACATGGTGAGTGTTTAATGAAGAAATAAGCTGGGAGTGGGAGGTAGCACCTGCAACAAGAACAGTGAGGGCAAGACGGAAACCACTCTCTCGTCCTTGAACTCAGAGTGGTATCATCGTCTTCATCATCGGTCTGACTACACCCACTGCAGGGCGAAAGCCTTTTCCGTATTCCGTCTATAGACCCAGTTCTGTGCTTTCTGCTGCCACGTTATGCCTGCAAACTTCTTCTCATCTAAACACCTAATTTTAGGGGCGCAGCTCCTTCAAGATCTAGGCTTGTCCGTTGGCGTTGTTGGCCGTAGCCGAACACATGCAATACACCCACAGTCAGCCATGACGATGACAATTCTCACCACGGACAACGGCTGGCTTGTGCAGTATGTGACGTCTCGATATGCAACGCGATGCATTTCGTATGACTGGAGACAACCGACAACCACCAATTAAGCGTGCACAAACTTCGTTTCTGCCACAGTAAGGCTAGATCTGACACCGCCAAGCAGTAACAATAAAGGCAAAAGGAAGTGCATAAGTCGACACAGCATAAACATTTATGACCAATGAACATTGTGTATAACTTTACACCACTTTGTCACCGATTTACATGCGAGAGTGGTCAATGTCACGGGTCATTCGATTCCCCTGCTTCGACCACTCATCATCATTCGCTTCGTGGATATGCCGTGTTTTTCGTCTCCCTCGCACACGCTTTTCATCTCTTGGAGTCCAGTGAGTTACCCTTAATGACCAGCGGTTATCCTGCATATACGCGCTACGTATCCGAGCCATGTCCATTTCTTCTCCATGACTTAAACTACGACATCCTTAACCTCCGTTTTTCTTTTTCCTGACCCACTCTGCCCTCTTCCCACGTCATAAGGTTCGGGACCTTTGAATATGCCTCTCTGATTGCGCGTCCAGGTCATGTATGGTAATTAGATGACGTCACTGAGCAAGGAGCAATTAAAGCTGGTTCTGGGTATTCTCCGATGCCCTCAAGAGACCAGACTGAGTCTACTTGTAATAAAGTTTGCTTTGCACTTATCCCATCGCTGCTTCAAAATCCAATCACGTCCTTCGAGCACTACACGAAAAGACTAACCAAGTCGTTTCAATGTTTAATGGTTGGTACACGAGGGCGCTATCGACGGTATGCCGTAATAAACTGGTTGTTTTCATTTATTAAGAGCCCCGTGTACGCAATTAGGAGCGACGTTGACTGGCCCTCTTACGCGCGATAATTTATTCCGGCCGGCTGCCCTTCGGCGTTTTGTCGTTCGCTTTCGTTTTTGTCGTTTGACTTTCTTATTTTTTTTTTTTGCAATACACCAGATGTGTGAAAACATTCACTGCAGCGCATGGAAACGGCGTCATCGAGTGAAAGACTGCAGCGAACAGCTCGTTGCCAGCTCGATCACTCCTTTTTGCGCACGGCCACCTAGGCACCCGTTTTAGCGACGAAGCACCTTGTTGAGAGTAGGCTTATCTGTTGTTTGTTGTTCGACGATGACGCTGATGACGCTGATGAAGAAGAAACGCCCTCCAGACCACACACGATCTGTCTGCCATGGACGAAAACGATTGTGAAAGCACAGTCGCTCGCGAAAGATGACGAAAGCCAAAGCGGCAACACCGATATTCAGCTGCTACCCCGGAGGCGGGATGTCGGGAAGCAGCGCCTCAACGGCAACGCCGAGAACAAGCTGCTACTCCGGAGTTGAGGGCGCGGGAAACGATGGCTGCTCAACGGCAAAAACATATTGTGTGTACTGTGCACATGCGCTGTAATACATTCACATGCGTTAGCGGGCAATGCCACACGTGGTTTACGGTAATAACCATCCCCGGTGCTTCGCCGACTAATCATGATTCACTTCGCAGAGATGCGTAGATGTTTGATAGAAGCTTTTGGTAAATTACAAACTTTAGTGGAGGCGTTGCGCTTGATAAATACGATGTGTTCAGCGGCACAGAAATGCAGCCTCCAAAGGTGCGCTGGTTAAGTGGGCATTTTTGTATCCGTTGTTTTTTTTTATAGCTGATCTTCGCTCAATCGTGGGCTTCTCGTCGATCAGCCGTTTCTGATACGACGATTGGATCTTTTTATCGAAATCAGTTGTTGTGTGCGGTTGCTACATTTCATTGTTGCCTCAATGTGAACGCATGACAGTTGTCGCACGCGGCATTTGAAGTGCCGCGCTACTAAGCATGCGGATGAATATCCGATTCCCGGCATGGAGGAAGCAAAAAGTTAGGAGGGAGCATTGCGCAATGAAAAAAAGAAAATATGTATAAGAAGGGTGTAAGAAAGAACAAAATAAATAAGAAAAGAAAAATAGAAAGCAAGCAAAAGAATGAGATAAAGGAAGAACGAAGTAAATAAAAAAAATTAATAAATGAATACGTCAGGTACGTAAACGCAAAGTTTCGCCTGCCCCCTTCCCCTTCCTATTCTCAACAGGAGGTTGGCTCCTTTTGTCTTTTTTTTTCCTTCTAAACAGCACGTTGGTGCCCGCGGAACTAACACGCTCGGCTGCACTCTAAAAAAATATCGAGTAAAAAGCGTGTCTTTTTGTGACACAACAATAATCGTCATCAGGCTTGCATGCGCTTCCTTTCTTGAAAACTCGGCGCTGGCCACTTTCCTATCGAGAATGCAATGTAACCCTGATAATGGCCATGTCGATCGTGACCGGGATGTACCGGGCAAGGGGCGATAGCGCAAAGATGGAACGCAATATAGATGACGATTATTGTTGTGGGACAAAGAGACTCCCTTTCTACTCGCTCTTTCTTTAGAGTGTGTGTATTTACGATGTGATCTGCAGTAAAATGTAGCAATCATTTCAAGCTCTCTTTCAAAGTCAGTTGAGGCAGAAACTCTATGGAAGACACGTTTTCAGGCTATGGGAAATAACTGTAGATGCAATGCTGTGGGAGCCGAGGTTTCGGCAAGATAACTCGCCTCTTGCTTGTCCCCTGTTTGGCCAAATGTCGAACCGTTGTCGCTACATTCATATTTTATGTTAAACACATTCCGCTCGTATTCATGAAGCTAGTGACACGCCGAGTAGCATCACGAGAGAAGGTTACCCACATATAACTCGTACCTTTTTTTTTTACTACATCATGCTGTATCTTACCGCTGATAAACTGCCTGACATTCGCGCGATATCACTAGTACTCCGGCATATTCATTTTTTTAAACTTTTTTTCACCGACTGTCATTCGTAACGATAGAAAAATCTGACTGCACTGAACGGGATTTTGTTCTTAAATTTATTCAGGACATAAAAGCAATGAATGCAGGGCGCCAAGCGTTTTACGTTTTGTAACAATGGTGCCTTAGTTCTCGAAATCAGTTATCATAAGCGTTTTTTCCCTTTTTTTCGGTTTAAGAGGGCCGCTATCTTGTCCTTTAACACGAACGCTTTTAAGAGCTTCGTAATAATCATCGAAAACCGACAAGGCCATGAAAAGCCGAGCGTATCTGTGCAGTCGTGTTCAAGCGCAAATACACTATAGGAGCATTCATATATTTGCTGCACATGCAAAAAAACAATAAAAACGTTAGGAGCCCTAAATGCAGGTACGTGATTGCATTCTTTATTTAGTGTACTTGATGCCTGTTCCCCTAGCATCCGTGAAGTCAAACTCAGATGTATAGAATCTGAATGGGCTTCGGAAATACTTTTATCTTAGGTATTGAGAAACATATAATACGTTGTATAACGAAAATATACTCAAGACGATTTCACAGCCCTTCGACATACACAATAACTCGTGCCGTGAGGGTTCGACATATGCAGGATCTACTCTATATAACCCAATGAATATCCAGCGTTTACAAACATTGCAGAAACCGGCCTCCATATGTATATTTAGCGCTGTATGCCGTTGGGCAAACTTTTGAAATAAAAAAAAAACGTATATCCAACGTTTCGAACGTCACTCACCTTCACCTTGCTACATGGCACGAACAGTAGTTGCTCGGGCGGATTTTTGGCGGCGGCCGCGGCGAGCGCCGCCTTGTGGACGCTCTGTTGGGGGTGGCCCGGAGGCAGGCCCATCTTGAAGCCCTTGGCCTTGACCCAGAAACGGAACTTGGAGTTCTCGGCGCTGGTCTGTTCCTCTCCCTTCAGTATCTTGAGTATGCGCTGGTACTTCTTCCGCGTCACAGTCTTCGTCTTGGCGCTGTCTCCGTACGTGCGCAAGGCCCAAGCCTGGAAGCCCTCGTACATCTGCTCGGGACTGGCGGACTGCGTCACCGCGGCCGTCACGGAAGTGGACGACGACGGAGCGCTTCCGGTCGGTGTCGCTGGCGTCGACGGCGGTGACGTCACCAGCGGCGGCGGTGGCGACGAAGCCGCGTCGTCTTCCATTTCCTCGTCTTCGTCTTCGTTGTCTTCGTCGGAGGAGTCGCTCTGCTTCCCGGATTGCTGGTGCTGCGTCCGGTGGCGCGAGGATGACGTCGGCGCGGAGCTCTGTTCCCGGTGGTGGTTCGCTGATGACGCCGCCACCGGTGGTGGACTCGGCGCAGAGCCCGTCGCCTTGGAATTCGGCGACTCTGACGTCGTTGAGAGCGTCGTGTTCACGGCCATCCTCTCGGAGGTCGTTAACGAGGCGCCGCTGCCGCCCGTCGTCCTATTGGAGGCAGTGCTGCTGGCCTTGCCGCTGTTTCGTGCTTGTCTCGCGGCGTGCCTAGTGTTGTGCAGTCGCTTTTCCATTGCTCTGCGGGAGGAGAGCAGAAGAGCGATTTGTTAGGTAACAAGACGGCAGCAATGCAAAATGTCGCACAAACTGACGGTGGGCCGCAAAACCACATTCACCAGATACTGTCCGTCATCACCCACGCTTACCAACACACACACACACACAACCGTGCTTCGTGAAAAAGACGGCAAGCGCGCTAACACGGCGAGTTCGCTCGCAAGCGTTATAACGTAAGACGGCGTCGGCGATGAGTATCCCCTTTCCGCGATCCCCTCTACCCGCATTCCGTCCTTACATTTCTATTTCTTTTAAGCCCTTCCCTTGTATCTGGTCGCTGTCCTCCCCAGGGGAGACAGTTACGGAGGACTCTTCCTCTTCATTTCTGCTCTCAATAATCACCTCCGCCCCCTCCCTGCGCAAACACGGCGAAGAGACGCCGGAACACAAACTCCGTTAGTGTAAAGCGACCTGTTTCTTGTGTCTGTGTTGTTTACATGCATACCGTCTTTTATCACAAATCCCTAGCAAAGTGGTGAGCGTTCTGCAAATCTAAAAATGTGCACACACAAATCGATTGCGTACAGACACTATTAACAACATGCAGACATAAACACACGTATGCACTACATACGCTCAAGAATATTCGCATAAGCACGCACATATGCACGCACGCACGTAGACATGCTAGTGCTCCAGCAGTCTGTGTCTAAAGACGTAGACATGTCAGACTCCATGTCTGGGCTGCCCTCGCGTATTGTTCGCAGGCGCAGATGTGTTAGTAGCAAATGAAATGCGTGATACATTTCTGGCGTCATAACGTGACAAAATTTTGAACACCGGCAAAAATCAGTTCTCCACATAACGAACTTTCCGATTTAACGGAGCCATTCGAGAGCGGTCATCACGTGGCTAAATCGGCTTTTGGCTGTATTACTATTTCATAGGTACAAAAACGTGGATAGTTTTCACCTCTGCCACAGTTGTCATTCATTTTCGAGCTTGGCTTCGCAATCACAATCAGACTCATTATTTTCACATCAAACAAAGAGACAAATGCACCATAAGCATACAAAGAATGTGGTTCCCTGATTACAAATTGAAATCGGTCGGATCTTTGTGCATTGTAACGTGGGGCATAATATATCCAAATGGCAACATGAACACTTGATAATGACAAAATATAATTTGATAGAAGCAAGAAACCAACCTAAAACCAGCATTAACATTGAGCATTGAACGACTAAAGAAATGCGCCCTTGTCCATGAAAGTAAAAAAGGTAAGGCGGGAGAGACTTTTAAAAGGAATAAGCGGTAATGCAACGCAGAAATAAATTAATCAAATGCAATAAGCGAATAGTGTAAATCAGAAAGCGCGGGGATTTCTGACACGGCGCCGTGCTCTCTCCTTACAGAGAAAGTGGGCGCGCGGCTTCGCGTAGCCACACGCCCCTCTCTCTCTCTCTCTCTCTCTCTCTCTCTCTCTGTAGGGAAGAGGCACGACACCTCGTCAAATTGCTCCCCGCTGACGCGCTGCCACGGGTGCATGTGGTCAGGCCGTAAGTACTGCACTACAAAAATTTGGCCGTGTCTCTGCGTGCTTCGCTGCACTGTCGTCGAGAGAGAGAGAGAGTGAGAGAAACAGCTTCCTTTCCGTGAGAAGCGTATTTTCACAGAGGGATTGTGCTCAGGCCACGGCTGGCCGCCACCTCCTCGGCTCGTTGTGTGGCCCGCAGCTGTGTCTCGAGCCTCGGGTTGCGGAGTACGTCTTCCCCCGTCCCAGGCGAATGAGTGGTGAGACGACTGTGGGCCGCCTTTTTCGTGCATAGCCTAGCACTTGCAGCACTACGTAGGAAACACTAGAGCATTTAGAATTACGTATCTATGTATTTTCTAGTAATGCACGCCCCCCCCCCCCCCCTAGTACTTACGTAAGATGTTCCGCCTCAGATAAACGTAATATTTGCTTTTCGATCGACAATGTTCGCAAGTATGAACGCAACCGCCAACAGACTGACGAACAGATAGACAGACAGATATTTCTGCGTTCGATTACCCCAACAAAGACTACCGCCCCGCCGCGGTGGTCTAGTGGCTGAAGTACTCAGCTGCTGACCCGCAGGTCGCGGGATCGAATTCCCGGCTGCAGCTGCTGCTATTTTCGATGCAGGCGAAATGCTGTGGGCCCGTGTGCTCAGATTTGGGAGCACTTTAAAGAACCCCAGCCGGTGGTCGAAATTTCCGAAGCCCTCCACTGTATACGACGGCCCTCACAATCATATGGTGGTTTTGGGACGTTAAACCCCACATATCGGTCAAATCAATCAAGAAAGACTGCCGTCTTTAAAAAAAAAAATATTAAGGCGTACACTGCGCGCTATTCGTATTTGAGTATCTCTCGCCGACGCATCCTCCGCAAAACCGCAGCCGACAGACTGGCGGGAGCTGCGCCGGCGCCTTCTCCACCGGGGGTCGTGACCTACACTCCGCGTTACTCACTGCTGTCGACGAGCGCGATCAAGAAAAGCGAGCGCGACGAAATACCGCGCGGGATCTTGTTTTTTTTTTAATTCTCTCTCTCTCTCTCTCTCTCTCTCTCTCCTTCCGAGACACTCGCACAGGAGGAGACGAGGAGGAGAGAGAGTCGGGAGATGGATCGCGAAGAACCGCGGAAGAGAGGCGAGTAGGTGACAGCCGGAAAGAACAGGCGAGATACGGGAATGATCGTCAAGGCGGCTGCTGGAATCTGGGGGGGGGGGGGGGGGGGTCGGTTCGGTTGAGCTTGCCGGTTTGCATGGTATTACAACATTTACTCAAACGTTACGCGAGATTTTCTCTTTCTATATTTTTGCTACCTACAGAGTCGGCCACCGCGCTACAATCGAATACTGGAATTCCATATTATTTTCTACCTGTACACAATGAACAGTCACCCTTCGGGTCACAATCGTGGTTGCGCTACAATCGAGTAAATACGGTATCTCACTGGTATGAACTGGGCCCTGTCGCAAAGAGCTACACGCAAAGAAACAATCTTTTTTAATATATATCCCGAGCGGAAAGTACGGGCACAATTGTTATACTACATTATTTGCAGCAGGGGTGGTATTGTATAGACATTTACCTAACTGGTACTTACTAACAGGTTGTTTGGGAAACCACCGCCTAGCGTGTCTGCTCTCTTACAGTATCAGGTGCTAGGATACGCGCGATTCGACAACTGTAGCCATGGCTTCATCACAAAAACAAAACAAAAAATTCACCGCGAGTGTTTTTCTCAAGTACAAAGCGAGCCCGGGGCGTTGCAACCCGGACATATACGCAGCGCGGCGCGGCTTTTTCGCTCACCGGCGCGTTGTTAGCGCAGTCGCTGAACGTGTTTCACTTCTTCTACATTCCTCTTCCTCCTCCCTCTCTTTCCCCTATCCTTACCCTTTCCATTAAAGCTCCTTCCTCCTCTCTCGCTCACGCGTCCGGGCCGAAAGAAGCCACGTAGAATGCACTCGTACACACGCACGTCCCATCGGCACAGCTGCAAGCATCGGCCGCCAAGCGATCCCGCTGACGGGGCGGCGAAGCTGTCTGCAATAGGCGGCTGCAAGTGCGCGTGCGTTCACACTAAGCGAAGAGGCCCCAGCTGCGGGCTCCTGCGTTCGTCCCTGGAACGCCCGCCGGCGGCGCAGTCGTGCTGGCCCGGGACGCGCAAGCCGAGCAGCCGTCACAGAAAGCGACGAAAATGCATGGCGCGCGCTAAACCGACCGGCTGTAGGACCACGTAATGGAAGTGTTCCGTTGCGATAGGTGATAGCGTCCGCCGTTTGACCCCATATAGATTTAACACGCTCACATCTCGTTCAGTGACGAATAGCGACCGTGGACGACCACTAACGCTACGCCCGCAACCCCGCGAATCCATTCATACAATATTCTAAAGCTCTCTGATTGGCAATGGGGAGTTTTCGAATAGCATACGCTAAATTATCGGGCGTTGCGGGTGTAACGCTTGCGTTCGTCACCCCGCGGGGAGCCCGCGGGAAGTGAGCGTAGGACGCATGCGCAACGCAGGCGCAATGCTTTGCATATTTAGTTGGGCAGCGGCCCTGCGGACACCACCCGCAAGCCAATTCCTGTGGCAGGCAGCGTACACTAAACTTGCGGGAGCTCAACTAAATCTGTCCAATATAAAAATTTAAAATAGCGTACGCAAGGCTCTGCGTTTGCCGCAATTGCAAATACTTGATACGCTGACCCCCTTGTGGACCATGCCGGATATAGCGGGTGACCACAACGAACGCAAACCTATAGCGTTACGCTAATCTAAAACTCCCTAACGTCACAAACGCTGGCATTGAAACGCTATAATTTTAACGCCAGCACAGTCACCATAACCTAACTGACAGGATAAGCAAAAGATGCGAAAACGACGCCGGCCTCTGTGTCCGCCATGAGTGGACGAACCAAAGCCGATATAGTGGGGGGTGGGGACTTATCTTAGGGGCGAAGCTTCTTAGCGTGTAGGCTAGTCCTCGTCGTCCATCGTAGCCACCCCTAGTACTAGGAGTGCTCACTAGATGGCACTGGGGCGCTCGCTCCACTTCGATGAGTTAGAGACGCGTTCATTAGTGTGCTAAGAGATGTACGGACGGACAGACAGACATACGGAGCAAGCTACTTAATCATTCATTCACTTCGTGGATATGGCGTAAATTTAAACAGTGTTCGTCACGTTTTTGATGATCGACTGGACACAATTGACGGAGGGTTCACGGTTTACCGATCTATACTCCGGAGCTTCACCTACTCATCACCATTCACCCCGTGGATATGTTGTGATTTTTTTCAAGTCAGCCTTTATAGGCATAATGCTTTTTCACTCAAAAATGCAGATATAGGTTGACTTCGTGGTGGGGTGGGGGACTTATCTTAGAGGCGAAGCTTCTTAGCGTGTAGGCTAGTTCCTCGTCG